GCACCTTCCTGCTGTACCGGGTCTCTAGCCCAGCACCTGCTCTTTGGGCCGGGCTGGGAGCGTGCTTGAACAGTGTGCGCGTGCGTGCAGAAACACTGATGGGGAGTCTCAGCGTAATGGCCCTGCACTCCACTGCCAGTGCCTCAGGAGCCTTGGTGCTGTAGACGAAACTGCAGAAGGGGCGTGTGGAAGTGGCCTAAGAGGAAAAGGGTGCAGGGGTACGGGGGTGCTCGTAGCATTTGCCTCTCGCGGCTTCCCAGTGCACCCATCCCCTTGGTCTTCCCAGCATCCTTAAGTTGAATGGGAAGGAAGTAGGAATCCCAGTATGGATGTATAGACAGCTGGGACCAGGTCCCTGTGATTTCCCATCAGCCTCTGAGAAGACAAGTCTGGTGGCCAGGACAGGGCATGGGGCCCAGGGAAGCAATGTGCAGCCGGGAACACAGCTGGCAGGGGACACTAGTGCCAGGGTGCATGCCATCCTTTAGGAGAAGGCTATGGGGAAGGACCCCTCTCTGCACTTCCTTCTAAGAAGGAGGACTTCTTGGTTCTATTGTTTTGTGGTTTTGGTTTGGGGCCACACTCCTGACTCTGTGCTCAGGGTCACTCCTGCTGGGGCTCAGAGGACCCCATGGGGTGCTGAGGATTGAGCCCAGGTCAACTGTGTGCGAGGCTAGCCCCCTCCCGGCTGTCCTAGCATTTCACTTCCGCTTGCTTCGCTTTTATTCCAAGAGCAAAGGTCTGGCTTTGGAGAGAACGGAGGCAACGAGCGAGTCCCTGGGTGTGCGGTGGGAAAGGCTCGGAAATGCGGAGGGGCGGAGTGTTGTCCAGTTGGAATGAGCTGCGTGTCGTGTAGGGATGGCGGCGCTCCCATTCACAGGCTGGGAGCACTGCTTTGACTCTTCCTTTATCTCTTCTGAGCGCTGCCTCCAGTTCCTGGCGCGATGAGATTGTCAGGAAGTTTAGGAAGCACAGCGCTCCCAGGACTGTGATTGGGTTAATGAGGCGATTGACAGAATAGCTTAGAGGTCACCAGGGACTGGGGGACAGTGACTGTCCCTGACATGCTAATTTGTCGTGCTGAGACATACATTCTAAAGGATGCGCCCTCCCGCCCACGGCTGGCGCAACCGTTCACTCCTGCTCTGGGGGCTCAGCGCTTGGTGCCCCCCTCGCTGGGCCAGCAGTGGCCCGAGCACCTGACCCTTGGGAACTAGAGGAGAGACACCGTACAGAAACATCAGAGGCGACTTCGGGTCCCAGTCTCCATCCTGGGCTGTGCAGCACCTTCCTTGTACTGTGTTTCCGTGATGATCCAGTGGGAGGATGTAGTGCTCGCGAGGGCGCAGACACGGGGATGTAGAGCTCAGTGCCCGGCACTGGAAAAGCGGGACTCCAGTGCGCCCGTCGCATTGGAAATGGGAATTGTCACGTGGTCTTAAGAATGGGGTTCCCTGGGCAGTTGCGGGGAGGTGAGCCTGATGGTAGGTGGCAGTGCACGCATCCTCTTGGTCTTGCAGTTTCTCTCTGACTCCACTCTGCTGCTCTCTGCTCCCCACCCACTAATATGGATTAGCAGGAGGACCAGGAAGCAAGTGTTACAAATGGGGTGACTTAAATGAGAGGATTCAAGCAACGATCATGAAGATAGCACTGGTACTTTTTTGTTCCTTGGTTTGTTTTGGGGGCCAGACCAGGTGGTGCTCAAGAGATACTTCTGGGGAGAGAACAAAAGGGAATGCCCTGCCACAGAGGCAGGGGGGATGGGGAGGATGGGGGGTGGGAGGGATACTGGGACCCGTGGTGGTGGGAAATGGGCACTGGTGGAGGGATGGGTATTTGATCATTGTATAATTGAAACCCAAGCACAAAAATTTGTAAGTCTACGACTGTACCTCATGGTGTCTCACTAATAAAAATTAAAAAAAAAGAGAGATACTTCTGGGGACCGGAGTAATAGTACAGCGGGTAGGGCACTTGCCTTGCATGCAGCTGACCTGGATTTGATCCCTGGCATTCCATATGGTCACCCAAGCATCACCAGGAGTAGTTCCTGAGTGCAGAGCTGGGAGTAACCCCTGAGCATCACTGGTTGTGACCCAAAAAAAAGCTGCCTCGAAAAAAAAATTTTAAAAAAGGATTCTGGCTCAGTGCTTGAGGAATGCATTTTTTAAATTTTTAAAAAATTTTTTAAAGTTTTTTTTATTAGTGAAACACCATGAGGTACAGTTATAGACTTACAAATTTTTGTGCTTGGGTTTCAGTTATACAATGATCAAGAACCCGTCCCTCCACCAGTGCCCATCCTCCACCACCACGGGTCCCAGCATCCCCCTCACCCCCCATCCCCCCTGTCCCACCCTGCCTCTGTGGCAGGGCGTTCCCCCTTGTTCTCTCTCTCCTCTTTCGGGTACTGTGTTTTGCATTTTACAAGAAAATTTAGCTCCAAGCAGATCAAGAAGAACAAAGTTAGGGAAAAGGGAGGTGTTTAGATGCTTTAAACAAATGAGATGTTTTATAACAATGCAAGAAATGATATGCTAAACTCACAAAGTAATAAGGAGAGAGATTATGGCTTGCTTAGAAGGTCCCCTTTCTAAGCAATTTTGAAGCAATTAGGGCATAATGAGATTCTTCCAGTGATCCCTCTCAACCCCTGGGGAACCCAGCTGTATTTTGCAGAAAAGAATCTTAGCAAGCTTAAGTCACTTGCCAAGAATTCAGACTTCCAAGTCAGAACTCTTGATCACCTTGTTAAATTGCATGATGGCCCGACAGAGCAGACGGAGAAACCCAGAGTTCTGCTTTGTCAGGGATTCTGATGGCTTCAGAAGTGTCTTGTGGGAGGTGAGCAGGGACAACCAGGTTGCACCCCTGGTTGCTGAAAGCCAGTCTCAAGCTGTGAGCCTTGCCCAAGGAGGAATATAAGCACTGAATCCGCTTTGGACTCGGCAGCTGGACCAGTGAGCCACCTGAATCAGTAGCAGCCGCACTGCGCCTCAGGTAGAGAGGCCGTTAATTGGGAGTGGGGAAGACGGGCAAATTGGCCAGCTCATCAAAGAGGTAACTGCTGTCGTGGATTGTTGCATTTGCAGTTCCCATCGCGGGTCTTCTCAATTTTCAGGAGAATCTGAGAATCAGAGGTTCTGTGGGAAACCTGAATTGTTACTGATGGCTACAAGTTTAAAATTTTCAAACACCGCATGTTGCCAGACATCTGCACCCTGGGTAGAGTGTGGGAATCTGTGAATTAGACTAACAACAGCCTTGCCACCTAACCAGAGAACACTCAATGATGCTTGATGAGCACAGGACACACTCCTGGCAGTTTTAAAAGGGAATCCGATTCAGACTGGGGTAGCTGTTGAAAGATCTTTATGCAAAACCAAGGCAATTCTTCCCCCAGAAAGAGCTAATGAAGCCCACGAGGTAGCAATTTCCGCCTGTCGCAAACAAAACAAAACAAAAACAAAACAAAAACATAAACAAACAAACAAACAAACAAAACGCTCTGGGGGCTGGAGCAATAGCACAGTGGGTAGGGCGTTTGCCTTGCACGCGGCCGACCCGGGTTCAATTCCCAGCATCCCATATGGTCCCCTGAGCACCACCAGGAGTAATTCCTGAGTGTATGAGCCAGGAGTAGCCCCTGTGCATCGCTGCGTGTGACCCAAAAAGCAAAAAACAAAAAACAAAAACAAATCATCCTGGGTGATTGTTTCTGGCCTCTGCCTCTAGGAAGCACAGAGTTGAGGCGGATGAGAGTCGGAAGGTTTTGAATGGGACCTGACAGGTTTTGTGTGATGGCTTCCGGGGGAGCGAAGGTGGGAGAAGAGGGGTGCTGTCTTGGGCAGGGGGCCCCAGCTGAAGATAAGAAGTAAACGGGGCAAGGGGAGGGCCCAGAGGGGCAGGGATCTGGGAATGGGGTGTCACCCAGCTCCCCACTGATGACAGATCTGCCGGGATGTAGATTAGGAATGAATGCCAGGTTACCAGGGGCCGTGGGATAAGGAGTGCTTCAGGACAGGGGAGGGAGAAGGCCCACACGCACGGGTCCTTCGTGACGGATGTGTGCTTTTGGAAAGTATTCCTACAGCAGTGGACATGTCCTTGTTTCTATTTTCTGGGGTCAGTTATTATTGTTATTAATATGAGTGTGTGTGTGTTCACGCATATATGTGTGTGTGCACGTGTGCACAAGCCAGGGACAGAACTCAGGGCGTGACAGATGCAAGGTTATGTGCTCTACTACTGGGTAGCATCCCAGCCCTGGAGTGTATTCCCTTTTCATTTCCTGTTCAATTTTCTTTCCCCTTCCTTGCCCTTCGCTGTTGTTCTCGCTACCACAACCCGGAGTTACAGACTTGTCGGGTTGTGGTGCTAGAACATTTGTTTGTGGGGCTCACTAGGGTCCTGCTGTAGGCTCCACACATCGTTCGTTCTGGTACTTGCACAAAGCGAGCTGCAGTGCTCCAGAAAAAGTTCCCTTGTGGTGTTGGGGGTCTAGACAGGAGTCGCGTGGACCCCACCCAGCTCATGGAGGCAGCTCCAGGCATGGGACTGGAGGCCTCATGGTTGCCAGGCAAGTGGACACTTAGCCAGCCCCTGGTGCATGGGTGCGAGATGGAAGGTCAGCTGGCCGAGTGTTAGGACGTGCATGCGTCTCCGGTGGGGTTGGATGGCATGGGTCCAGAGGCATTGGGGTCGCAGTGGTGTAGTGGCCAGGGCTGCCCTGTGGTCAGCCTGCATCCATCCATCAGCCATCATCTGTCAGATGCGTTCTAGGTGCGGAAAGGCTATGCCAGCCTGGCCATAGGCTTCCAACTCTGAGAGAGAGAGAGAGAGAGAGAGAGAGAGAGAGAGAGAGAGAGAGAGAGAGAGAGAGAAAAGAAAAGAAAATCTCGCTTGCTGCACAGGTGCGGTGCATGTTCCGCATCCCTGCCCACACTTGCTGTGGGGGTGACACCCAGTTTTCATCTCCCTCTCATCTCTTTTTCCAGGAAAACTCTACGGTGATGTTCCTTTTGTTGAAGAAAGACACCGACATCGTTACGAGGTATGGCCTCCCTGCTCCCCTGCTGTGTAGCGTGAGGGATGGATGGGCTCTGGGAACGGGGCCAGGACAGCCCCAAGCCCTGGAGCTCCTAGGATTCACCCCCTTCCCCGGAGGGGATATTCGCCTTTCCAAAGGCAAAATCTTTTCATTTTTTTAAAAAAAAATTATTTTCCATTGTTGGGCTGGAGTGATAGCACAGCGGTAGGGCATTTGCCTTGTGCGCCGCCAGCCTGGCCGAGCCGGATTTGACTCCTCCACCCCTCTCGGAGAGCCTGGCAAGCTACCGAGAGTATTCAATATGCCAAACACAGTAACAAGAAGTTTCACAATGGAGACGTTACTGGGCCCGCTCGAGCAAATCGATGAACAACGGGAGGACCGTGACCGTGTTAGTGTTACAATAGTGTTAGTTTCTGGATCGATGAACACAGTTACTGCCATCCCCCCCCCCCCCCCCCAGTGTGCCTTGCACCCTCTGTCAATGACCTGGTGTCATCTCCAGAGTGATTTTCTACCTACTCCCCTTCTCCCCAGCATCTGGATGTCTGTGAGTTTTATATTCTAAAACCAAGAGTGTGTCATGGTACTGTCTGTTCTCTTGTTTTATCTCTCTGTTTCACAGATGGAATTTAGAATGAATTCTATTTGTTCTTCTCCCTCTAGCTTGTTTCGTTTATATGGTACCCTCTATGCTAACCACATGATTTCATCTTTTTGCGGGGGAGAGCCACACCTGGTGGTGCTCAGGGGACCATATGGGGTGCTGGGATTTGAACTCGGGTCAAAAATGTGCAGGACAAGCACTTTACCCGCAGTACTCTCGCTCTGGCCCCTGGTTTCATCACTTGTTTCAGCTGCATAGTACTCCATTGTGTATATCTTCCCAAGTTTCTATACCCATTCATCTGTTGCTAGACATCTGGGTTGTTTCCATACCTGACTGTTGTGCTAAGCACTGCCATGAGCATAGGAGTGTATCTATCTTTTCATATGAATGCTTTTGTGTTTTGGAGGTAAGATGCTTAGAAGTGCTGTGTTGTATGAAACTTCTGTTCCTCCTTAAAAAAACAAAACCAAACCTCCATACTGTTATCCAGAGAGGATGACTCAGATGATATTCCCACCAACAGTGATCAATGTTTCATTTCTCACCAGTTCCAAGCCAGCACTGGTGATTTCCAGTCCTCTGTTGTTTTTTTGTTTTGTTTTGGTTTTTGGGTCATACCCTGCAGTGCTCGGGGCTAACTGCTGGCTCTGCGCTCAGGGATCACTGCTGGTGGGGCTCAGGGGACTCTGTGGGGTGCCCGGGATCAAACCTGGGTTGGCCATGTGCAAGGCAAGTACTCTACCTGCTGTACCATTGCTCCTGCCCCTCCAGTCTTTTTTGCTGTATGCCATTCTCACTGGTATGAGATGATTTTGCATTGTTCTGATTTGCATTTTCCTGAGAATCTTTCCTGAGATGAGGAGCCTCTTTCATACACCTGCTGTCTATCTGTACATCCTCTTTGAAGACGCATTTACTCAAATCCTCTGGTGTTTCTTTTTTAATTTATTTTTTAATAGGGATGCTTATAGAGCTCAGGGACTGTTCTGGGTACATTCCCCAGGGGTTGCTCCTGCCAGTGCTTGGGGAACATGTGGTGCCGGGGATTCACCCTGAGACTCCTGCATGGAGAGCAGGCTCTCCAACTCTTTGAGATATTTCCCTAGCTTCCAGTGTGGTTTGGTTGATTTTTTCCCCATATAGTTTTAATGCCTGACACTTTTTTTTTAGTATAGTCTAAAATCAGATAATGTTATGCCTACATTTTTTTCTTTTTCATGGTTGCCGTAACTAGTCAAGGTCTTTTATTCCACATAAAACTTAGTATATTTTGTTCTGTTTCTTTAAAAAATACGGAATTTGACTTTTGGTCAAATTGGTATTTTGACTATATTAATTATTCCCACCCATACACAAGGAATATTTTCCTGTTAATGTATCGTTCTATACCTGTCTTGTAACTTTTGTACTGCAGGTCTTTTCACCTCCTTTATTACATTTATTCCTAAATATTTAATTCTTTTGGATCCAATTGTAAATGGAATGATAAGTTTCTTAATTTCTTCTTATTATTTGAGTATAGCAGTGCAACATTTTTTATATAGATTTCACAACCAGCTGCTTTGCTGATTATGGTTTCTAATGGCTTTTTAATGGAGTCTTTTGGGTTTTGTGTATGTGTACGTATATGTTATATATATACACATATGCATATATGTATATATACCATATGCAAATAATACATGTTTCACTTCTTTTTAAATCTGGATTCCTTTTATTGTCTAATTGCTCTAAGACTTCTAGTACCAAATAAAGAAGGGTAAAAACAGACAGCCTTGTTTTGATCCTAATGTTAAATAAAAACTTTCAGGTTTTCACCATTAAGTATATTAGCTTCACAGTATATGACCTTTGTTATGTTGATATGTTTCTTCTATACTACCATTTTGTTGAGAATTTTTATTATAAATAGTTGGTGTTTTTTGTTTGTTTGTTTTGGTTTCTAGGTCACACCTGACGGTGCTTAGGGCTTACTCCTGGCTCTGTGCTCAGGGGTTACTCCTACTGGGATCATTGCTGGGGACCATATGCGGTGCCAGGGACTGAAGTGGTATTGGCAGCATGCAAGACAAACCTTAACTTCCGTGCTATCTTTCTGGTTGCAAAATCTTGTCAAATCTTTTCTCAGCATCTTATTGATATCATTCAGTTTTGGTTTTCCTTTTACTGACATATAGCGTATTACATGGATTGTGCATCTTGGACCATCCGTCCCTGGATAAACTCCATTTGGTTATGATGCACAATCCTTTTGATACTATTGAATGCGATTTGGTAGTATTTAGAGGGGAAGGTTGCTAGGGATTGGCCTCTTCTCTGGTGTCCATTTGCTAATATTTTTTTAGTTTTGTTTTTTGGGCCACACTCATCAGTATTCAGAGCTTACTCCTGCCTCTGTGCTCAGGGATCAATCCTGGCAGGGATTGGAGGACCATATGGGGTACCAGGGATTGAACCCAGGTTCATCACATGCAAGACAAGCACCTTACCCACCTTATTCTTGCCCTACTAGTGTTTTTCTGAGGAATTTTTTTTTGGGAGGTCACACCTGGCGATGCACAGGGGTTACTCCTGGCTCATGCACTCAGGAATTAATTACCCCAGTGGTACTCAGGGGACCATATGGGATGCTAGGAATTGAACCCGGGTCAGCCGCATGCAAGGCAAACACCCTACCCACTGTGCTATCGCTCCAGCCCCAGGATTTTTTAAAAACTGGAACTATTCAGACTGGAAGAGACGAGTGATCATCAATGGTAAAAGACAGTTACAAAGCAACACCTAGAACTGGCTTCTTCACCCTCAGGAGAGGTTGCTTTGGCTCCTCCTCATGGTTTCCGGTGCTCTACACCATCAGAGAAACTTCGCTAGTAACGAACTATAGAAATGACCCCTGAAAGTATAGTCTTTGCTGAGGATTCTTTGTTAAATTTTATTTTATTTTTATAAAATTGTTCACAGTGATCTTTTACATTCGATATTCCAACACCAATCCCACCAGCATTCTACCTTCTCACCACCATTATTTCCTATTTCCCCAAACACCACCCAAGCCTGTCCCGATAGCAATCCCAAAATGATTAATTTTGTGTTGCTTGTTATGATTAATTCGCTAAATATGATCCAAAAAAATTTCCTTAGAAGGAAGTGTGTGAAGATTGCTGTGTCTCATGCTGGAGCCAGTAAGCCCTTGTATAAAAGATTACTAACCGGGGCTGGAGCAATAGCACAGCGGGTAGGGCATTTGCCTTGCACGCATCCAACCCGGGTTTGATTCCCAGCATCCCATACGATCCCCCGAGCACCGCCAGGAGTAATTCCTGAGTGCAGAGCCAGGAGTAACCCCTGAGCGTTGCTGGGTGTGATCCAAAAAGAAAAAAAAAAGATTACTAACCTATTGTTACAGGTTAAGCCTTGTGTGTTAATATTTTCTTAATTGATATTGGTTGCTTTCACTTTACAACCATCCGGGTTGAGGATTTTTTGCACCCACGCTTATCATGGATAATTGTAATTTTCCTTTATTATGATGTTCTTGCCTGGTTTTGGTACCGAGGTAATGTTAACCTCATAAAAGTTATTTGTATTTGGCTGCTTCAGGTTTTTTCTCTTTTTGGTTCAGTCTTGGTAGATTGTAGTAAAAGAATTATTTCTTCCAGTTTTGCAAATTCATTGGCATATTATTGTCTTAAATCCTTTGTATGTCTCTGATATCTGTTGTAGTTTCTCATCTTTCAGTTCTGATTCTGTTAGAGTTTTTCTCTCTTTACATCCAGCTAAAGCCCAGCTATCAAGCTGATTTTATCTTTATTTGCTCTTGGAACCACACCTGGCAGTACTCAGGGATTATTTCTGGCTCTGTGCTCAGAGTGACTCCTGGCAGTACTTGGGGACCATATGTGTGGTGCCAGGGATTCAAACTTGGGTCAGCCTCATGTGAAGGACATTAAACTTTGCACTATCTCTCCAATCCACTAGCTCTTGGTTTTCGATTTGGTGGAATTTTTTTTTTTTTTTTGCTTTCATTTGGCTGGAGCGATAGCACAGCGGTCAGGTGTTTGCCTTGCCCACAGCCAGCCCGGCTGAGCCGGGTTCGATTCCTCCGCCCCTCTCGGAGAGCCTGGTAAGCTATTGAGAGTATCTTGCCTGCACAGCAAAGCCTGGCAAGCTACCCGTGACATATTCAATATGCCAAACACAGTAACAGCAAGTCTCAAAAAAATGGAGACGTTACTCGGCCCGCTCAAGCAAATTGATGAAAAATGGGAGGACAGTGTTTGACAGTGTTTTGTTTTCATTTTGTTTAATTTCGTTTAATTCTTCGACCCGAGTTCGATTCCTCCGCCCCTCTCGGAGAGCCCGGCAAGCTACCGAGAGTATTTGATATGCCAAACACAGTAACAACAAAGTCTCCAATGGAGACGTTACTGGGCCCGCTCGAGCAAATCGACGATCAACGGGAGGGCCTTTACCTTTACCTTTACCTTTTAATTCTTCTTTGAGTTTTTAAATTTCTGCCCTTCTTCTAACTTCCATTTTATTTATGTTTTTTCCTAGTTGCTTTAGTTGTGAGCGTAAATTGTTTACCTGCAATTTTTCTGGTTTCTTTATGAAGGCCTGTATCACTAGTAACTTCCCTCATTGTACCGCTTTTGTTGCATCTCATACTTTCTGGACACTTGAGTTTTCATTTTCATTTGTCTCTCAGCAGTATTTAGTTTTTTGTTGACTCAGTGGTTGCTAAGATGTGTATCATTTAGTCTCCACATATTTGAGGTTTTTCTGGTTTTCTTTTCCTGGTTGATTTCAAATTTTATGGTATTGGGATCAGAAATTATTGATATTTGTTTTGTGTTCCACCATATGGTGTGTCGTTTTAAAAGTTTTGTGTGTACTTGAGGGGAAAAAAAGTGAAAATATAGCTGTTTGGGGGGTGAAATATTTTATAAATGTGTTAAACCCATCTGTTCTAGTTTTATCATTGAAGTCTATTGTTTCCTTATTTATACTCTGTTTAATTGGTTTGTTCATTGGTGAAAGTGTGATGTTAAAATCTCTTACGATTGCTGTATTGCTATCAGTTGCACTCTTTAGTTGTATTAATAATTGTCAGATGGGGGCCAGAGTGACAGTACAGCGTGTAAGGTGGTTGCCTTGTACGTGGCTCACCAGGTTCGAACTCCAGAATCCTATATGGTTCCCTGAGCATTGCCAGGAGTTATTCCTGAGTGCAGAGCTAGGAATAACCCCTGAGCATCACCAGGTGTGGACCAAAACAAACAAACTAATGTATTTTTTGCATCTTTACTTGCTATATATATAAGTATGATATCTTTTTTAATTAATTCCTTAATAGTTACATAATGTCTCTTCCTATCTGTTATCTGAAACAAGTATAGCTTTTTATTGATTTTTATGTTTTAGGGGTTTTGTTCTTATTTTTGTTTGGGGACCACTGTTGGTGGGCAAAAGGTCTCCTGAGCACCGCTGGGCATTGCCGAAAGTGATCCCTGAGCACAGAGCCCGGGGTAAGATCCTGAGCAGATCTGGGTATGGCTCTAAAGCCCCAGTGAAAACCCAACCAAAAACGGCCTTTTCTTTTAGATTTTTCAATCTTTTATTTTTAACATATATATGCAAAAATGTCAGATTTTGTTTTTTATCCATTCTATCACTTTATGACTTTTAATCATTTAATTCAAACCATTAGCATTTAAGATAATTCTTGAAATACAACTCTTTACTGCCATTTTATTTTTAAGGTTTTTTTTTTCTTTTTGGATCACACCCAGTGATGCTCAGGGGTTACTCCTGGCTCTGCACTTAGGGTAACTCCTGGCGGTGCTCGGGGGACCATATGGGATGCTGGGAATTAAACCCGGGTCGGCCACGTGCAAGGCAAATGCCCTACCCGCTGTGCTATTGTTCCAGTCCCTTAAGGTGTTTTCTTGATTTGTAATCGTTCTCTTATTTTTCAAACATTTCATTCTTCGTATACTTTATTACCTTGTACCTTTTGGGTTAGGTTTTAGTTTCTTATGTTTTTCTTCTGTAGCCTTTGTTTTAAGGTTATCCTGAGGTAAAGTTCTATATTTGTAGTCTCTGAGGTAAATTGGTTTGACGTTAATTATATTTATTTAAAAAACCAAAGTTTGTTTTGGGGCCATACTAGCAATGGTCAGGCATTACTCCTGGCTCTGAACTCACGAATTATTCCTGGCAGTGTTCAGGGGACTATATGGGGTGCTGAGGATCGAACTTCTGTTGGCCACATGAAAGGCAAGTGCCCTACCCACTGTACTATTGCTCTGGCCCCTGATTTAACATTAATTTTAATGTACCACTTTGATGCTCCTACACCCTCTCCACAATCTTGTCCATTCTGCTCTTTATTTGCTCTTGTGTGTTTTCCATGATTATACTTTCAGCAGTTCTGTTGGCTTTCTCTTCTTGTTGACTATTAAACTGCCTAGTGCATTTTTTTAAAGATCATCTATTATATATATTATTATTATTACCATTTTAAGTTTTGGGCCATGCCCGGCAATACTCAGGAGCTATTCCTGGCTCTGTGCTGAGGAATTACTCCTGGCGGTGCTCAGGGGACTATCTGGGATGCCGGGGATTGAACCCCTCCCTGCTGTGCTATTGCTCCAGCCCCGATCAGCTACCATATGATGAAGCCCATTATTTCTGTTTGAAGCTTTCTGTTTCTCTGTCCTTGTTATAAATCTCATTTTGCTTATTGATTGCTTTTCACATTTCAGTCCACATAGTTTGACTTTTTTTTTTTTGAATATTTTTTTTCAGGCAAGCTGCCCAGGCCCCATTACATTTGAACCTGCCCACAGGTTTCGCTCCATCATCTGTAGCAAATGCCTGCTTCCTCGTTTTGTTCAGCGTTGGCTGCCAACTCGTGCGGCCTGGGTGGATGGGTCCCCTTCCCTTGGGCTTCACCAGGCACTCTGCTGTCCGTTGCTTCTCATGCCTGGTTAATGAGCACTGGGGTGGCAAGGAGCAGGGACTCCCCGCGTCCATGCAACCAAAACGGGCGGCTTGTGCTCCTGGGAAGGGCGCACCCTGTGCAGCCTCCCTGGCCTAGGCCACGGCCACATTCTGGACTTTCCCAGCCACTCCTCATCCTCAGTTGCTCTCAGCTGTGGTCCATCCCGTGTGGACAATTCTGCTGGTTGGAGCCTACACTGGTACATCAGTGCGAAGACCAGCCAGGAGCTTGTTTCCATGATGGTCAGCTGGCCTATGGTCAGCTCATTCTGTCATAATCAAGCTCCACAGCTGAGTCATTGGCCCCCCAATGTCCAGTGCCAGCTGCCTGCACCCAAGTTCCAGGCTTGAATTATTGGTGCACTCTCCCCCACCCCCACCCCGAGTCCTGGCAGCTATGGGAATGTTCCAGGGGTCTCTGGCAGCCCAGCAGCTTGGCTCTTTGGCTCCTTCTTGGCTGTCGGGTCTCTCAGTGCTCTAGGGAGGAAGCCCTCCCCCCCCCCTTTTTTTTAGTGAAACACCATGAGGTACAGCTGTAGACTTACAAATTTTTGTGCTTGGGTTTCAGTCATACAATGATCAAGCACCCATCCCTCCACCACCAGTGCCCATTTTGCACCACCACGGGTCCCAGTATCCCTCCCACCCCCATTCTCCCATCCCACCCTGCCTCTGTGGCAGGGCATTCCCTTTTGTTCTCTCTCCCTCCTTTTGGGTGTTGTGGTTTGCAAAAGAGGCATTGGGTGGCAGTCATGTTTGGTCTAGTCTACTTTCAGCATGCTTCTCCCATCCTGAGAGGATCCTCCCAACACCCTTTATTTGGTGCTCCCTTCTCTGTCTGAGCTGCCTTTACAAACCCTAGAGTGTGCGGTTGGCCTCCAAGCCATGGAGTAAACCTCCTGGTATTTATCACAGATATTCTTGGGTGTTAGTCTCCTATTTTGTTACTTTATGTTCCCCAGATGAATGCAATCTTTCTATGTCTGTCCCTCTCTTTCTGGCTCATTTCGCTTAGCGTGATATTTTCCATGTAGTACCACCTGTATGTAAATTTCATGACTTCATCTTTTCTAACAGCTACATAGTACTCCATTGTGTAGATGTACCAAAGTTTCTTTAACCAGTCATCTGTTCTCGGGCACTCAGGTTTTTTTCCATATTCTAGCTATTGTAAACAGTGCTGCAATGAACAAACAAATGCAGATGTCAAAGCCCTCTCCCTTTTGTGTCTGCTCATGGGCCATCCCCTCCCTGACACTGTATTCCAAGTATCAGCCCGTGCCCCACCTCCCTCCCTCCCTTATCCCTAACCCACTTGGCTTGTTCCCGACCCTCGTCAGGAAGTTGAAACTTCAGGAGGCGAGTTCGGGTCCATCCTCACCCAGCTTTCCTGCTGGAGTCGGATGCAGGACTTTTCTCTTGGGGAGTGCTCCCAGCTCTGTGCTCCTGGAGATGCTTAGGGGCCATGTGGTACTGGGGATCAAACGTGGGCCGCCTGCATCCCCTATGCTGTGTCTCCCATCCCGAAGGGCGCTTTTCGCAGCTATATGTCTGTATTACTTAACTAGCCCAAGATGCTTGGTTTTTTGTTTTTTGTTTTTGTTTTTTTTTTGCTTTTGGGGTCACACCCTGCAACACACAGGGGTTACTCCTGGCTCTGCACTCAGGAATTACTCCTGGTGGTGCTCGGGGGACCATATGGGATGCTGGGAATTGAACCCGGGTTGGGGGCATGCAAGGCAAATGACCTACCCGCTGTGCTATCGCTCCAGCCCCAAGATGCTTGGGTCTTGTGTTTGCAGGTGAACCCTAATGTGGTCAGCTACTTTGAGAAGACGGACATGAGCTTTGTCGGTCAGGACATCCAAGGAGAGAGAATGGAAGTCATCGAACTGGCAAGTAAGTGGCCACTCTGTTTGGGCAAATGTTCACAGTGAGCTTGGGTGGTTGACCAGATGAAGGGGAGCCCATGGGAAGTGCGAGAGCCCTTCCGCACCCTCTTCCGGGGAGTCGGTGTGCAGGTCAAGAGAAGTCCCACTAAACACAGAGTGCACGAAACATGCTCAGGGAGGGCAGCCAGGCCGCCGACATGCAAAGCATGTGCTCTGCCCATGGGGCCTCTCTCCAGTCCCCTGTAATCCTAGTCATTTGGGGGCCTACCCATTTGGGCCGACCCTGGGATGCTGCATTGAGTACGACCTCTGCTCCGGCTAGTTCACTTCCTTCTTGTCTCTGCCCCTTTCCTGGAGCTTCTCTTGCGTCTGCTCGGGCATCAGCCCACTAGGAAGCAGCCTCTGCTTTTTCCCTCCTTTGAGGGTGAAGGGCCCAGTGCCCCCTCGGTACTCCTGCGGGAGGCTCAGTTAGGTACAGTGTGTCCCCTCGTCCCACCTGCTAGATGCCCCGCCTCGTTGCCAGCGCCCCATGGCCAAACTCCAGCCACTTGTTTACTTACATTTTGTTTTGTGTTTGGAGTGTGGTTCTACCCAGCGGTGCGCTCGGGTTATTCCAGGGTTTTCGCTCAGGGGACCAGGTGGCACTGGGGATTGAGTTTGGGGCTCCCATGCAGTGGGAGTCCTCAGAGCTACCTCCCCAGGCCTTCTTTCCTTTCGGAACACTAGTCACTACTCTCAGAGAAGGTCTTAGGACAAACGCAACCAAAAAGCACTGTCCTTCCCTGCAGGGTCACTGCAGAAGGTGTGTGTTTGTGGCTGGGCCGGGCCCTCTTCCCGTGACAACCAGGCAGGTGACAGCGTTTTCATTCAGAGCTGCCGAGTCTTGGCAGGCTTGTGGTCACAGCGGATCTCCACTCTTTCTCTTCACATTGTGTTCCGGGGCTCGGTGGCCTCCCATGTTCCAATCTGAGGGCCACATGCAGCTTGCTGCCTCGTCTGTGCAGCTCACGAGCTCACGTTACCTTTGGCCTCTTTACGTGGTCTCAAAAATAATCTCTAACATGTGGATATTCCCTGGAGTTTCCGTGTCCACAAATAAAAGTTCCCCTGGCACAAAGCCACGCTCCTTCACTGACGTATTGCTAAGAGGTCTAGATGCCTCAGTGGGAAAGAGATAAGGAAGCAGAGCAGAGAGACTAGCGTTACCTCCACGTGGCCCTTACCAGAGCAATCCTCCAATCCCCGTTTTAGACCCACATGCCTGCACTTAAAGCAACCGCGCTTTGAACGTAACATCTCAAGGCGCCTCTCTGGCCTAATTGTCTAGCGGGATATATTTTGCCACTTCCAATGCATCCCGGATGAAATTGACAGTTTCTCTAAACTTCCTCTTCTTCCCTACTATTTCTGTTCTGGTTTCATTGGCCTCCTTGTACCGGTTTTCTCCCCATTGTCACCATTGCCATTTGGATGGAATGGGGTCATCCTTGGTTGTGGAGGTGGTCCTGTGGCCAGTAGGATATTTGGCAGCATCCACAGCCTCTCCGCATGTGACAGCAGTAGCCACGCCTCCTCTCCTCCAGGTTTGCCTAAAGTATCTGCAGACACTGTGAAATGTCCCCCTGGTGGGAAGAACACCATCAGCCTTGACAGTGGACTGGCATTTTTTTTTTTTTTTTGCTTTTTGGGTCACACCCGGGGATTGCACAGGGGTTATTCCTGACTCGGCACTCAGGAATTACTCCTGGCGGTGCTCAGGGGACCATATGGGATGCTGGGAATCGAACCCGGGTCTGCCATGTGCAAGACAAATTCCCTACCCCGCTGTATTGTCACTCCAGCCCTGGACTGATTTTTTTGTATGTGTGTGCTTGTCATGCTTCCAACTTATAATCAGTTGTCAAGGCCCTAGATTCCGGCTCTGGAAAGACTTGGGTTTGGGATTGCATTCCCTCCCAACCGCTACTGCCTGGCTCTGGGAAGGAATTCCCAGCTCCTTCCTGCCTCCCCGGTGCCCCTCTCGAGTAAGTGCTGCTGAGACCGGAGCTCTGTGCGGTGCTCAGAGCAGTCATTTCCTGAGTGCTTGGTGTGTCCGCTGGACTACGGAATTGGTTGCGTCATTTTTCTTTTTCTTTTAAATTTTGGGACACACCGAGCAGTGCTCGGCGAGTGCTGGGGCCCTGGACTCGGGGGTCAGTCTCTGGCCTTGCTCAGAGATCCAGGTCATTCTGGTGATGGAACCGAGGCCAGGTGCGGGGAAGGCAAGTACCTTAGCTCCTGTGTTCCAGAGCCGGCCGTGGTAGTGTGATTTGACCGCATCTCCCTTTTGGCCTGCAGACTTTAGACTCGAGGTGATTGGCACGTATTCTTCTCTTCACTCTGCCCTCCACTTCCTTCATCTTAGTCCCTGCCACTACTGTCTACTTCAGACTCCCTTTTCTGGCCCTTTCCTTTTCTGTCTCTCATGTTCGGGTGCTTCCGGAGTCCTGGGCAGGGAGAATTGAAGTGGGAGAAGCCTTTGAAGGCAGTAGCCTGTTATTGCCTGGACTCTGAAAAGGGGCGACAATAGACACTGTGTGTGTGCTGTCTAGATTCTTCTCACCAGACCCCTTGCTAGGACACCACGTCTTATGTCACTTAAAGGTAGGCGATGTCGCCCCCACTCACAGGGAAGGAGACAGTGCCCTACCCGGAGAGACCCCCACTGTGCGGGGTTATTATTCTTGTTTACATGGGCTATTCCTGCATTGGGAGAAGCTCTGAACTAGATGATGATGATGTATCTCCTTTAGTATGTCTGATGAAAATGCCTGTTCTTAGGGATGTTTGGGATGTAGATCAGCGTTTGGTATTGGGGTTTAGTGGGTCTTTCTGGCACATGAGGAAGCAGAGAATTTCTCCAGTAGAGCAACTGTTTGTTGGCCTTAAGTACTCATTCTCTTTCAGTTTTTCCGCTTCTCATTATTGTCAGCGAATTTTGGAAGACCCTGTTTCACAGGAAGGGTTTGGATTCCTTTTGACACTTTAAATTTCCTGTGAGCAGGAATGGAATTGAAAGTCACTGTAAAATCTTACAATTTCAAAAGGTGACTGATTGCAGGGGAATTCACTGGTTTCAGGATGAAGGGGAATTCACTGGTTTCAGGAAAACACCCTCGTAGATTTCGGTGTTAGCGAAGTTTTAGAAAGTGTATTCACAGGGCCAAGGAGATGGCTCAAAGGGCTGGAGCATGTGCTTTGCATGTAGGAGGCCAGGGTTTGATCCCCGAAGGCTTGACTGCTTGGGTGCCTGAGTTCTGACAGGATAACCCCCCAACATCAAGTTGGCAGTAGTCTCCCAAGCGGTGGGAGGTGTTCTCCACACCCCCCACCCCCTCAAAAAAAGGTGTATTCATAAATCTTTACATTCCTAAAGATGTTCATAAAGGCATGAGATAAGGAGAATGTCAGAATTTGGGTCAAAGAAATTAAGAGCATTATTTGAAGATAACACTTTGTTCCGCTAGAATGCCATCGACCCCCAAAACATTTTCAGTTTCCTTCCCCTTATGGGCACAGGGGATTTGGGGGATAAAGTGATTCAGTGCAAAGATCCATTCTGTTCCAGTATTTTGCCTCTCTCTGTGAACGCTCCTTAGCTTCTATCTGGAGCGGTAAAAAAACACACATCATTGTGTGCTGCTTCCCACGCCATCCTAGACACGGGGCTGTAAGCTTCGTTGCACTTGAAACTGAAGTACATTAATGAGTTTCCTCCCCTAAGTCTCTAATTTCTCTTCTTCTCTTAAGGAGACCTTGCTGGGGAGGAGCTGGCATTGCCATCAAGCTTTCATGTCAGCATGTTCCTCTAATTCACTTCATGTGATGGAGATGAACTTGGAGCTGTCCAGTAGAATCTGATGGCAGTGCAGGAATTATTTTGCTGCATTGAGCGTGGTAGCTACCAGCTATTCGTGGCTGTGGGCCACTTGGAACGTGCTCTGTTATTTGGGATGCATTGTACTAAGTGGACAGGGGCTTCCCCATTGTGTAGCAAAGTTTTAAATGAAAGTACCTTAGGACGGTGGAGGGGCTGGAGCAATAGCACAGCGGGTAGGGCATTTGCCTTGCACGCGGCAGACCCAGGTTCGAGTCCCAGCATCCTAGATGGTCTCCGAAGGCCAGACCTTAGGACGGTGGACATTTTGGGATTATTTTCTCAGGGATCCAGGGGGAGATGTTTAGGATTTGTGAGTTTTGAATGCCGTACTACAGAGCTCCTTTCATAAGGCATCTCATCAAAAGGTATAAAGCTGTAAAATTTAAATTTCACAAAGTTCAAGATTATTCCCCCCTCCCCCGTGAAATTTGTGTTTTATCATCTTCAGTTTGATATATTACTTACGAAAGTGATTTTCAAAGTAAAAAACTAAAGCGCCCTGAGCATGCTTATGCCCGCATGATTGTGGGGTTGGAGAGTGCCCAGTCCCTAGGTGGTGCTCTCTGATCTGAGAATGACATACCTGGGGGAAGGTTTGGGTTTGAGCCACACCGGCGGTGCTCGGGGATCACTGCTAGAGGTGCTTGGCAGACCCGATGTGGTGCTGGGCTTGAACAGGACTTGGTCATGTGTAATGCAGGTGCCTTATCTCCTGGATTATCTCTGCAGTTCATATCTTTGAGAGTTCCGAGTAGGGAAAGGAATCAGGAAACCTAGAATATTTCTACTCAAATGTAGTAGTGTTGCTCGCTAGATATTTCCCACTTTGAAGCAGAGGAGTTCAGGTACCTGGGGAAGGCTACTTTTCTATTCGCATGACATCTAGAACTTGAATTACCCATCAGTGACTTTTAAAACCCTCAATTTGAGAAGAGCTTATTTTTTTTCCTCCTGATAATTTAAGTACTATATGTTTGCTGTAAAGGCTCATATGATGCGGAAAAGTACGAGGAAGGGAACTATAATCCCTTGAGCCCTTGCCCCCCAGAACTATAACCACCATAAATATGTGACAGGCCATCATTTTGTTGCCCGGGGACTCTTCATCAGGAGGGCTGTTAGCAGATGCGAGTTTGGCTTCCTGGTGCTGGGATAAATATCTAAATTTTAGCTGTGTCTCAGCAGTCGTATTTGCTACATTCCCAGGGAACTTCCCAGGGAAAGAAGACCTAGTAGAGGGGCCGGAGCGATGGCACAGCGGGTAGGGCATTTGCCTTGCTCGTGGCCGATCCAGGTTCGATCCCCGGCATCCCATATGGTCCCCTGAGCACTGCCAGGAGTAATTCCTGAGTGCAAAGCCAGGAGTAACCCATGAGCATTGCTGGGTGTGACCCAAAAAGAAAAAAAAAAAGAAGACCTAGTAAAAAATTTCCTGAAGCACCAGCTACGAGAAATAATGGCCTACGTACATTTATTTAGAGCACGTGGGCCACCATGGACATGGAACCTTCCTGTCACAGGCAGATTTGGGGACAGGGTATCTGCCTTGCAGTTCAAAAGTTATGCCTACATTTGTTCACTCTCAGGGCCAGAGGGGTGGCATAATGGGTGGAGCACATGCTTGGCATGTGGGAGGCCCAGGTTCTAGCCTCAGCACAGCATGGCTGCCTGGACTCTACCGGAAGTGACTGATCCCCACCCCCAAGTGTCATGGAGTGTGGTCCTAAAAAACAAAATAAGATGAAAAGTCACTCTAATACCTCCCATGAACGAAATTCCAATCTCTTATTTTGTGACCTAAGCTTCATAGATTGAAATTCGACTGTATGCATCTTTTTTTTTCTTTTTGGGTCACACCTGGCGATGCACAGGGGTCACTCCTGGCTCATGCACTCAGGAATTACTCCTGGTGGTGCTTAGGGGACCATATGGGATGCTGAGAATCGAACCCGAATCGGCTGCGTGTAAGGCAAATGCCCCACCAGCTGTACTATCACTCCAGCCCCTGCATGCATCATTAAAGCAACACGTTCGATACTCCTGTGATCAAGTTAGTGAGTTTGGTTTCTAACATGTGTCCCTGGCTGCTCCAGGAGTCACACAGACAGGTATAGTTGAGAAACTGTTTTAAGCAGGAGCACAGCCCTTGGAGCCATAGTGTAATCCAAATCCTGCTTGTAGCAAATGTTTTTAGTGCAAAGATAAGATAATGAAAGCACTTCTCATATTTGTCTGCCTCATCACTTCATGATTATTCTCATTTCAGATCATCCATATTTTGTTGGTGTCCAATTCCATCCTGAGTTTTCTTCCAGGCCCATGAAGCCTTCTCCTCCCTACCTGGGACTGTTACTTGCAGCAACTGGGAACCTGACCAACTACCTGCAACTGGGGTGCAAGCTGTCTGCCAGGTAACCGGCTTCCTACCCACACACTGACCCAGCACACACTTCTCAGCACCCCAGGGTTCTCATCAAAGCAGCATCACCACAGGACATTCGTTCACATGAGCAATGCCCTTTCCCCCCTGAAAACAAATCTTTTTCATGAAAATGATTTGATGACATCTACCACAGTTACTCATTGGCTCTACAAATATTCCTCATTCTGAACATTATTTTAGAAATCTTTGACATTTGGGTAAGTGAAAAATGAGATTTCCTTTTGTCAAGTCTTCAGTTCATAAATATATGAAGTATTTCATGGCTGGCCTAATTCCCTTTCCCTCCTTTTGTTATTATCTCTTTTTCTTACTGGCTGGTAATCTTTTAATATTGAAAGACTAATCATTTGTTGGCTGCAGATTTTTTAAGTGGTTTTGTTTAAGTTGCTAATGGTAGTTATCATTTTCCTTAAAGAGTTCTAAACAAGGACTTAATGTCCTCCTTATGTATTTATTTATTTTGTCCAGTTCAGCCTTTTATTCTGTGGATTCTGCCTTTAGTGCCAGGATTGCAACCTTTTCCTATTAAAAAGATTATATAGAAAATGAACTATTTTTCCATGATCACTTTGATGGTTTTAGTTTTAGAATTTAAATCTGTAATATGGACTTTATTTTCTGATGTAACAGTGATGTGAGGATCTGTTTCGCTCTCGAAACTTAAGTTATAAGGAAGTTGAGTACTTTAGATTTCTTTCAAGAATTTCTATTTTGATAGATTGATGATTTCACCTCTTCTGGAAACCTCACTACACATTTCATTATCATAAAATTTTATAAATCAAGCCTTTATTGGTTTTATTCCAATAATTTTTCCATTTCAAAATATGTATTTACTCATCTTCCATGTCAATTATATAAGGATTTTAAAAAATCAGGTTCCGATTTAAAAATCCCATACAGATTTATTGCTCCTCCGTATCCCGGCGTTGGGTGTTATTTTAGTTTGGGGGCATACCCAGTGGCTTTCAGGGCTGACTCCTGACTTTGTGCTCAGGGATTACTCCTGGTAGTATTTGGGGGACCATATGTGGTGTTGAGATTGAACCCAGGTTGGCTGCATGCAAGGCAAACACCTTACCCAGTGTAAGGTAAAATTTTTATTGAAGTTTTCTTGTAGTTAATATTGGGGAGAATTTGTATTCTCCCTTCTTTTTTTATATGTAGGAGTACTGCTATTTATTCAGCCACTGATAAGCTGATTGAATTGGGAATGAACTCCATCTTACTTTTTTTCATAATTTTATTTATTATTTTTTCTTCTTATATTTATTTATTGAATCACTGTGGGAAAAGTTGCTAAGCTTTCAGGTTTAAGTCTCGGTCACACAATAATCAAACACCTTTCCCTTCACCAGTACTCATTTTTCACCACCAAGAACCCCAATATACCACCCTCCCACCCCTCCCAATGCCTGTGAGGCAGATGATTTCCACTTAACTCTTCTCTACATTGATTACATTCATTATTTTGACAGAAGATGCACCATTATTGTTTAGAATTCCCCCCCCCCCCCAACAATCAGAACTGCTGAAAAGGCATTGTGAAATATTTTGTTTTCTATAGCTGGTTATGAGAATCATATAATCTCACCTGGCCGCAATAGCACCCTCGCAATTTTGGATCTCTGCAAAGAGCCAGATAATTGGGAGATTGGTTTCTGTGCATCTGGTGTTATGGCTGTGCCGGAGAGCTGCTCGTAGGGGGCAACTCGTGACCTTGGTAGGGTGCGAAGGATGAGCCAGTACCGCCCCCCTTCCCATGAGACTGCAGTTGCCCCATCATAGCTCATATCTGGCTTTCCTATAAGCTCTGAGGCAGCAACCACCTTGCTGCTGGGGGGAGGGGGAAGGCGGAAGGGAGCAACACCCTTTCCCTCCCAGGGAGGCGTGGCGCCATAGTTTAACCATGGTCCATTCACTTTTCTGCTGCAAGCAGCCAGGCTCTGGACTAAGTACTTTTGTCTCTAGAGCCATGGCCGTGCCGGAGAGCCACTTGTGGGGGGCAACTCGTGACCTTGGTAGGGCGTGAAGGACGAGTGTATTCTCCCTTCTTTTCATCCAAGGTGAATTTATTTCCTAAAAGCAAAAAGAACCAATCAAAATGTCAGAGACTGAGGTGGAGTTGATTGCCCGCAATAAGCAGATAGACGATACTGAGATTCCCTGGGGTGATTATAATTTGGCTTCATACCTTCGACCACTGTTTAGCGTGGTTGGCTGCAAAGAATGACAGAGACCCTGGGGCTTGCTGAGGTTCCTCAACAAGAGGATAAGCTGGCCATTCCGTGTACACAAATTTTGACACCCCCCCATCCCTGCCCCAGTGGATCGCTGACTCCAGACACAGAGCCACGATTTCCATGAACAGGTAGGTTTAGGACACTAAGCAGGGACATCAAGCACCAAGGCTGCGATACTGACTCATCCAAGGCCCCGAGGGCTGTCGGTAGGCAACCTCAGTGCACAGCTTCGAAGCAGGGGAATCTCTTCTTTTCCTGCCTGGCCATGCACATTGGAAGCCTCTTTTGCTAAAGTAGTGATTAAAATCGTGGTCATCTGTTCCGTACTCGCCTGGGCGCGCGTTTGCAGCCCTGATGGTCTAAAACAGCCAAACTTTCTTACCCAGGGGCCTCTCTTGACCTCAGGGTTCTTAAGGGGGTGATTCCCCGCAAATGTCATTGCTGACACTCATCTTGGCCAGTGACCTTTGCGGTAGCACGGCTGCACACTGCCAGCATAACTGTGCGCTTCATACGTGTGTTTGCTCACCAGAGACATTACCTACGAGAAACTCAGAGCACTTTAGCCTTTCTTTGAAGTGTGTGGTCAGAGGGAGCAGCTCTCCTGCACACTGAGCACCTTCCGGAGTGAAGAATCGCTCCTGGGACTTGGATTTTGTTGGTGTCCAAGTCCATCCTGAGTTTTCTTCCAGGCCCATGAAGCCTTCTCCTCCCTACCTGGGACTATTACTTGCAGCAACTGGGAATCTGACCAACGACCTGGTTTCTTTCATGTGGGGCTGCAGGCTGGCCAGCTCTGAGGGGTGGCCCAAGGGTGCCTGGTTCTTTCCACAGGGGGGTGAGGAGAGCCACTCTGTTTGGCTCATGTGGTCACAACTGGGCCCGAGACTGCACACAGATGAGGTGCTGGGTCCTGAGGCTGTATGGTGTTCACAAAATTCCAGCATGATCGCCTGGGGGGGAGGGGGTGTTCAGTGACCCTTCTCAGCCTCCTCATTGTCTCAGTCAATTTCCGATGCTCATAGACGGAAGGAGGGTGCTAGTGGGGAAAAAAATGAGCTGGTGGGGAGAAACAAGCAATGCAGGAGGAGGCACAGAGAGCTGTTTGCAAGTTGGCAGCTAATACGTGAATGGCGCCTGGTTCATGTGTCCCACCAGTGCCCACAGGGGCGGCAGGGGGTGGTCAACTGCTCAAGCTCAGGGCCACTTTGGGGAGTGATTCCTCAGCTGGTGACTCCTGAGTAAGACACAGTATATTTTAGGAAGGAGGGAAGACTTCTGGACATAACTGTCATGGCAGTGTCAGAATCAGCTGGTTTGCAGGCTTTGGGGAGAGCGTTCCTGTGGACCAGCCCCCGGCTGGTAAGGTCAGCCAGCGTTTCATCTACCCGTCTCTTCAACTCCTGAATACTCAGGATTCCTTATTACCCAGGAGGATGGAGCTCGTTGAATCCATGCTCCACATTTGTTGCTGGCTAAGAATGATGACGTAGCACTAATCCGCAGATCAATCCCAGGATCCCAGCAGAACTTGCACTTGGTCTCTGCCTTGACCTGTGGTCATTGGATGTTGAAAAACACATAGGCGCTTTCATGGCCGGGCCTCTCTGAGTTTGGGATTGCATTCCTGTCAAAAAAAATGACTGCGTGTGATCAACCCTAAACAAAAAAACGACAAGATATATGAGCACAGCAATGACTAACTTTTCCTGATAATTTTCAGCTGTGTGGTACATGCACTGGTGACATCTTGAAGGCACAAAATAGAGAAAAATCCTTGGCTTTGAGTCAGTATACCCAAGGTTTAGCCTCTGCATTTGGCCCATAGAGGACATTTCTCTTTTGGTCCCTGGAAAATTATAGTAAGAATATTATTTGGTGGTGGTGGAGGTGGGGGCAGAATGATAGGACAGGGGTTAAAGTCTTTGCCTTACATGCAGCCAATCTTGATTTGATCCCTAGCACCACACATGGTCCTTTGACCACTGCCAGGATTGATCCCTGAGCACAGTGCTGGGAGTAAGCCCTGAGCACTGCTGGTGTGACCCTATCTTCCGCCCCAGTTATTATTTTGACATCTAGAAGCAGTGAGCTCAGTTCCCAGCCACTCCCCTGTCGATAGAACAATGACGAAGACAGGTGTCACCTGGCTTGTGTGGGTCTCTTTTCTGTTGGACTGTGCTCGTTTCAGGATGATGATGTTTAGGTTTTCATAAGTTACTCCAAAGTACATTAAAAATCATTTTATTTTGGGGATCTGAGGTCACCCACACATTTGATAACTCACTATCAGAAAGGAGAATGGAGTTAGACTTTTGGCCAACGTCTATTAGCTGGAACGGGGTAGGGAACTGTGTCTGGAAGGAAGGGGAGCCAGCCAGCAGAGTGGGTAAATCTGCACTGTCCTTCAGGCCGTGGCAGTGCTGCGTGTGTGATGTTGGCACCCGGAGAAGCCCATTCCCCATCACAGTTCAGGGTTTTTACCGGGCCACTCACATTTGTGGTCCCTTCCTGGAAACCACCCAAATCCCAGCCCCCTAACAGGGTTCGCCATGAATCAGTGTTGGCACACACAGCCCGGGCCTCATGAAATGGCTTGACCAGTTCGTCATGGGAAAAAGATTGGGAAAACCAAGTTCACAAGCCCCCCTGTAAGCAGGCCGGCTAGGGACTGGCCTCAGGCCTGCTGTGTGTACTCCTTTTGGCATGAGTCTGCTAAACAATT